CTTAAAAATATAATAATTTATAACTAATGGCATCCAATTCTTGGTCTAGGTTACCATAAATGTCTCTAATACAATTTGATGAAAAGATAACCTCTCCTAGCAACGATTTTAGAAAGCTGAAACATGATTAAATTCAGTGAATGGAGCAATGTTTAATAATTAATATTTTCCCTAAAATCTAATATGTATTCAGTAAAAATATGAATAGTCACACCCCAACATTTGCTGCATCTTTTATTGTACATAATACATAAGTAACTATGGGTTATTACTGCCCACTATACTGATCAGCTAAGCCTGTATGTCATGTGAAGGATTATTAAGGAAATGTAGGATTGATGAATGTTTTCACATAAAGTAGAGTTTAATTATTTCTTTGACATTCAATTTTCTTTACAAGTCATTCTGTTCTTCACAGTTAACGGTTTTGCTATTGGCAGACTGAAAGAAATTTTTTCTGTATGAATCCACTATAAGAATGTTAACTCTTTACACTCTGGACACCTTAATCTGTCACAATTACTTCTTAAAAACTGTTTTTATTTGACAAATAACTAAAAAACAACAAAAAGTAAAAATCATGTATCCATCTGAAAGAATAACAAAAAAGTCATAACTGAAGTACCCCTTTCTTTAGCCATCTCTGCTTCCCACGCCCCTTTTCACCATTGTTTATTTACATCTTGGTACATGTCATTCCTAAATTTTTACCTATACTTACACGATTTCCATTCTTTTAAGTTAACTTATCTAACTATAAACTCTTTATTAATGAAAAAGAATTATGCAACACATTTTAGTATGTAAGTTATATTTTGTCCATAACAATGTATTACAGACATTTCCCCAGGTTAATACTTTCAGACGGACCTTATTTTTCTTCTTTGTGGAAGTATTTTAAAGCAAATTTGTGACATCACATTATTTCACCTCCTCCTATTTCACTCTGCTTCTCAAAAACTAAGAACATTTTCTTACCTAACCATGCTATTATCACTCAGTACGTAATGTTTAAAAACACCATTACTTATTCTGTTTGTAATTTGGGGTATTAACTAAACTCATGTTCAACTGTAGAGCTTAATTTAGTGATTTCTTGAATTTGACTTCCATTTGAAAGTCTCATGCTTCAAAAATGAAACGTCAGCTAACTTCTACCTAAAAGATAAATCTTGTCTTTTTATTTATTTCTCCAATTGAGAAACTTTTATTCAAATTCGGAAGTATAAAAAGGCACAAAGTTACAATAATGACATTTCTATCATAGTTTGCATGGAGAAAAAAAGAGATTAATGAAGATTACATTTATCTGGAATACAGAACTTCCCATATTTTTCTGAAATAATAAAGCACTGTTGCTATTAATAATGGTGACTAATGCTGTAGGATAATTAAGGAAATAATCAGTATATCTTTAAAAGCTGTTAATACTGCCATAACTTGGGTCAAGAAAGAAAACTGGGCCAATCTAAAGTTGAAGAATACCCTGTAAATGATATCATATATTTATATATCACTTTATAGATTTTGAAGGTTTTCATTTTTAAACAAGGTACAATAAGCCAAATTACAAAGGAAAATATTGATAAATTTGTCTTATTAAAATGGAAATTTTCTGTATGAAAACCATTTGCATTCATTTTAACTGGACTGATACACACAACAACCCTAAGAAGTTAAGACCAGCAGGTGTTACTATCCCTATTCTACAGGCAAACAACTGAGGCTACCAGAGATGATCGTGTTCAATCTCACACAACTATAAAGTAGCAAAGCCATTCAGAATATTTTATTAAGAACAAGAAACAAAACAGATGTACCTATATCACTTTGTTAATGTAACATTAATTTCTGAAAACCTAAACAATTATTATTGTTTTAATTGTATAGTTGATATTCTAGCAGAGAAGCCTGACAAAAAATAGCCATTATTTTGTAGTATATAAACAAATTAGTACGTATAATCTGTTTCATTTTATTTCGGAGGGAAAAAAATTAAGACTTTTTTTCTAGAAAACTATGAAGATAGTTCTTGAAATTCATTTACCAGATGATGATAATATGACTAACAGTTCTTAACATACTCTAGTTTATAAGTATATATTTGAAGTCTATATGATGTAGAACGTAGTGTTTACATTTTTTTCTACATGGTTAAATGGTTAAAAATAAGTCTTGCAAGACAATTTACTTGTTCCAAAGCCAACATGTCAATATTCAAGCACAACAGAGTTTTAAAGATGCCTGCTTCACATATGAAAAAATTTTAAGTTAAAAAATTGACATTTGGTTAAATGCTAGGCCTGATGCTAAAAACTTTTTCCTAAGCATTTAAACAGATATTTATACTGGTAAGATCTTTATTAAAGATAGATTTAAGAAGAGAAAAAGATTCTTGTCATCCATTATGATTATACAAAAAAGATTCATTTTAACTGGGAATGGGTAATTCAGAAGATTGAACTATATTAACAATAACTGACTCATTACAATCAATTTTCTACTCATGTTCAGCAATTGGTATTTTAGGAAGATTCTAATGAAAAATATTCACAACATTAAAAAATAAAACTCTCTAAAAACAAAAAAAGATAGGGAGGGAAATATGGAAGGAAGGAGAGAGACTTGGTGCTGCTTGATACCATCACTGGAAATCTTACCATGGGGGTCAAAGAATGATGGGGAGAGAGGGTGAAAACCTTTGTACCCCATGAGGTACCTAAGAAAAGTATCTGAGGCACACTGGCAAGGCAGTATGAAACTATATGTACTGCCACTGGCCATATTGTACCTGGTCTGTGAATAAACAGAGTCCTTCAGTTTCCAAAGCTGTCAATCTGGCACCTTCCATGAGCATTATATTCACTTTGAATAAAATAAACAAACAAAAATTTATAATTAAAAGGACAAAAGAACTTGAAAATAAAAACTACTGAAACAACTTATAGTTGTGGTATATGACAAAAAAATAAAAAAGTGAAATACTACAGATATTTGAAAATCTTAAAGTTTGTTGTTTGAATTTTATATCACACCTTCATAAAAGTTCAGGCCAGATAGTTTAGGTACTTTTGTGTTACACAGGTAGACACTTACATTTTAAATTTCCTCATTGTATCAGTGCTGACAGTTTTATATCACTTCATCTCACCACTCAAGTAAGTTTATAAAAGTGTGATTTACTATTGATTCCATAAATTTCCATTATTATGTTCTAAAATGTCTGGATGGTTAACTAGAAAAAATAGGGAAAAGCCATGTCTGTAATTATTAAACATAAATAAATGAAACAAACTTCACATATATGCACCATACCTGCAGTTGACCATTTAATGAACTCAAGTCTTCTGCTTTCTTCTCTAAAGATTGAACCCAGACTTTTCTTTTTTGTCGGCATCTTGAAGCTGCTGCTCTATTTCTCTCTAGAAACTTCCTCCTTTTTTCATCAGGATCTTCGTTAGCTGCTCTTCTTCGACGACCACTTGTATTTTGAGTCTGTGGAGCTGTGTGAGCTGGAGAAGCCTATAATAAACAAAAAATGAGAATGTGTTATAATTGCGTGGAGTGAGTGAATTAACACAGGTAGCAAAGCGTAGTAGAGGGGGAGAGCTACTAACTCTAAGTCTCTTTGTATATATCAATATTTTAGGACAATATGAGAATCATCCTGTGGTTTAAATCCTTCCTGGAAATAAATGAGCTATGCAAGATGTTCACTAATACACTGTTACAGTGAATTCTTTAAAGTAATATGTATAATATTTTCATTTAGGTAGATACAGCATGAAGAACCTGAAGTCATAATTGATCATTTACAGATCTTATGTATTTTCAAGTGTGCTTTTTAACAGACTTTACGGCATTATGTAATTCTTAAAACACTGATTATGCTGTTGTTGTTAGATGCTATTGAGTCGGTTCCGACTTATAGCGACCCTATGCACAACAGAACAAAACACTGCCTGGTCTTGCGCCATCCTCATAATCAGTATTATGCTTGAGACCACTGTTGCAGCCACTGTGTCAATCCATCTCATGGAGGGTCTTCTTCTTTTTCACTGATCCTCTACTTTACCAAGCATCATGTCCTTCTCCAGGGACTGGTCTGTCCTGATAACATGTTCAAAGTATGTGAGACAAAGTTTCACCATCCTTGCTTCTAAGGAACATTCTGGCTGTACTTCTTCCAGGACAGATTTGTTTGTTCTTTTGGCAGTCCATGGTATATTCAATATTCTTCGCCAACACCATACTTCAAAGGCATCAAGTTTTCTTTGGTCTTTCCTATTCATTGCCCAGTTTTCACATGCACATGAGGTGACTGAAAACACCATGGCTTGGGTAAGGCGCACCTTAATCCTTAAAGTGACATCTTTGCTTTTTAACACTAAAGAGGTCTTTTGCAGCAGAATTTGTCCAATGCAATGTGTCGTTTGATTCCTTGACTGCTGCTTCCATGGGTGTTGACTGTTGATCCAAGCAAAATGAAATTCTTGACAACTTCAATCTTTTTCTCCATTTATCATGATGTTGCTTACTGGCCCAGCTGTGAGGATTTTTGTTTTATGTTGAGGTGTAATCCATACAGAGGGCTGTGGTCTCTGATCTTCATCAGTAAGTGCTTCAAGTCCTCTTCACTTTCAGCAAGCAAGGTTGTGTCACCTGCATATCGCAGGCTGTTGGTGACTCTTCCTCCAGTCCTGATGCCCCCGTTCTTCTTCATATAGTCCAGCTTCTAGGATTATTTGCTCAGCATACAGACTGAGTAAGTATGGTGAAAGGATACACTCTGACGCACACCCTTCCTGACTTTAAACCATGCATTATCCCTTGTTCTGTTCGAACTACTGCCTCTTGGTCTATATACAGGTTCCTCATTGGCACAATTAAGGGTTCTGGAATTCCCATTCTTCATAATGTTACCCCTAATTTGTTACGATCCACATAGTTGAATGCCTTTGCATAGTCAATAACACACAGAGAAACATCTTTCTGGTATTCTCTCCTTTCAGCCAGGATTCATCTGATTATAAGTTACTATATTGAAAATTTTAATAACTCTCCATTTAAATACATTATGAGACACCATGTTTTTTATGCAATTCTGAAATAAAATATTTTACATCAAATCTGTAGATTTTCTTTAAGAATTGGTTTTTCTAAAATTAAGGAGTGAAAGTATGGACGAACTCTGGTGTACACAGCTTTTCTTCACTTTTTGAGAATTAGCTCAATCCTTTTCTAGGAGCAGGTTCATGTAATTATTAATATTCATCTTTATGGTGGGTAGAATCCCACAGGAGCCCAGATTTTCATTTTAATTGCTTCCCCCAATGGATTGGTCGTTTATTTAAATTCAGCCAGAGAAAATGGTCTTCATTTACTAGTCATATAGTCTTGTGTCCAGAACTACAGAACACTAGGTACCTCAAATCTCTCACAGGCCCCCAAATTGTGCCACAGAACACCTGAATATGGGAGACTGGAAATGGACCCTTGGAAATGATGTGGATGACAGCACCTTGTAGCCATAAGCATATGGTCCAAAGGAGAAACCTGAAAATAATCTTTTTACCTATAATTAACTATATTTTAATGTGTTGCTGTGATGATAATTTTGTGTGTCAACTTAATGAAGCCATGATGCACAGTTGTTTGGTCAAACATTAGTCTAGATGTTCTTATGTGGTATTTACATGTGATTAGATCAGTTGGCCTTAAGTAAAGCTGATTTCTCTCCATTAATCTCCATTAAGCCAGTTAGTTTAAGGCCTTTAGAGCAAAAAGGGAGCTTTCCTGAGGGAGTATTCTGCTTCCAGAATTCTTTTCTCTCCCCCACCACCTGACCTACGAATCTTGGGATACAAGACTGCCAAAATTTTTAGCCTGTCAGTTGCTAAACAGAAACAGAGTTACTTTTGTATATTTTTATGCCTAACAATGATTTGAGGTCCCTAG